TACGGAACTCCAACTTGGTCAGATGCGGGGGGAGTTTCTGAGGGTCTTGAGGGACAGCGGTAGCAGTAGAGTCAGCTGGCTGTGGACGTGCGGCTTGTGCACGGGTGGTCACGAGAACCGGAGGAGAAACTTCATCACTCTCTTGAACCTCTGCTGGAACATACTCTAGAATAGGGTTTAATGGCACAGAGTTACACACCTGGGGTTTGTCCATGACGATCAGGTTGGTCGGTTGCAGGTCTTCTGCCAAGTCGTTGCCTAGGAGAAGTTGCACTCCAGGCATGGGAAAAGGCTTTTCCCTGACGGCGACTTGGACTTCCCCGTTCACGTAGGGACAATCCAGGTGGACTCTGGCGAGAGGGTATGGAGTGGTAGCAGTGAGGTCAGTGATGAAGACAGTTTCTCCGGTGTAGACGATGTTGGGCACAGCCGACTTCAAGATGATCGATTGTAAAGCCGCTGTGTCCCTCAAGATCTTCAATTTGCAACGTCCCTCCGGATTTGAACCGTTGGCAGAGACAGTTCCAGTATACAGGTGGTTACTGAAAAGAGAAAGATCATTAACATTAACACCAACATTCATCACAGGCTTACCGGACTTAGGAGGAGTTGGTTTGGGTCTTTGTTGGTCAGTGGTTCCCTTGTATTGAGACTTACCACACTTGTCTATGGTATGTCCATAGAGTCTACAATACTTGCAGTACAGTTGTGAACCAGCTTGATCGGGGCTCACCTTCTCGTAACTGTACCACGACTTCTTACTGGAGGATGGTTCGGGGGTCAGCCGGTGGATGAGGCTGTAAGTGTCAGCCGACTTAGCACACTTCAGGTAGTCGGTTTCTTCTTTATCTGCTAAGTAGAGGCGGACAGGAGGCGGCACACGTCTCAAGAATTCTTCAACAAGCATCAGGTTGACGAGTTCTGTAAAAGTAGAGACATGTGCTGCTTCCAGCCATTTCATGAAATACCTCCGTTTCGTGTTAGCAAACTCAAGGAAGGTAGTGGTACTTGCCTTCAGGTGGTCACGGAATTTCCTTCTATAACTTTCTGTGGAAAGTAGGTAGGCGTCCAACACTGCTTGTTTCAGAGTGTGGTAGTCATTCTCAGACGCCAAAGTACTGAGTGTGACTGCAGCTCTACCTGTAAGATGGACTCTGAGAAGTGTGGCCCATTGGTCGACAGGCCAACTGAGTTGATTAGCAAGGGTTTCAAAGGTGGTGAAAAACACATCAACTTCTGCTTCTACAAAGGATGGCATTAACTTACTTGCATGTGATATATTAAAACTGACGGGAAGATTGGCAGTAGCTTGCTGGCGTTGAGTGAAGTGTGAAGTTTCCAAGGCGATTTCGCGTTGACGACACTCTAGAGCCAGAGTCGCTTGTTGCTTGTCATGTTCGCGTTGTATTTCCAACTCGCGTTGTTTTGTTTCAAGCTGTACTCTCTCACGTTCATGGAGCAAGGCGACCTCACGTTCGTGGAGGGCGAGTCCACGTTCGTGTTCTTCTCTCCTCAAGGCGGCCTCGCGTTCTCTGAGGGTGATTTCTCGTTCTTGTTCTTCTCTCCTCAAGGCAGCTTCGCGTTCTTGTTCGTCTCTCTTCAAGGCAGCTTCGCGTTCTTGTTCTTCCCTTCTTATGGCAGCTGCTTCCCTTTGCTGCTCACGCTCAATCTTGGCCAGCTCTAGTTTAAGTTTCATCGTTGCCAAGTCAGTTTTATCTGCAATATAGTAAGTTTCATGAGTTTCAGAGTCGATCTTACCTTGCTCTAAATAGTAATCCAGCAACAGGTTGTGTAGGTCATTTTTGTTGGCTTGGTAGGGAACTTCTAGTTGATACTCATGTGCAAGAGTTTGTAATTCAGTCCTCTTGGCACGACTTAAAGTCCCTATTTCACCTGCTGGATTTGTACGGAAAGCTTGGAGACGAAACATGGTGAAATTAGCAAATAAAGGTACACGAATATTCAATAGTGAATGTCAGAAACAGGACAACGTGGCAACTGGTACCTATCCTGTGAGATCTTTAACAATTAAAGTTAAGTAAAAGATGTTAAATGATTAAATTAAATCAAGGGCGCAGGAAATCTTGTACCCGGTACTCATGTAAGAGGATAAGGGCAAGAAAATCCTACTAACAAATGAAACAGAGTTTCGAAAACAAATGAAACAGTAAATTGTCTCAAAAGTAAAATTGGTAGTCCAAGGATGTAGGCATACCTTGCCACGTCTCTATAGGACATAAAGCAAGTTTTTCCTACTGAATTTAATATGATACTTACAGAATTAGCGAACTTTTGTGCTCTGAAAAAGTAAGCTAATTCCCTACCGTTGTATGTATCATCATCTCTGACTGACGTGTAGGGGTGCGAGGTGTCAACTGGTGACGAGAACTGCCGCTGAGGTCCCAATTCAGCAACTAAAGTTCGAGCTAGAGGAACTATGGCCCTCTTTGTCCTCCTACAGTCAGATTGCAGAAGATTGGATACTCTTGACCCGGGGCAGACCACAGTACCAGGGTACCAATATGATGATCTGTCAGAATGAGAAATATTCAAGGGACAAAGATGGTAAACACGAGTAATAACAAGGAGGGAGAGATGACCAATTAAGAGTATGACTGAGGCCTACAGTCACCACGTAATCCAAAGTTGTCTCACCTTCACTATATGTTACTCTCGTAATGCACAATACACCGCACCTTATAAAAAATGAAATTGAATATGAAAAATAGTAAAGCTACGTTAACAAAGTTAAATACGCTTACCATAAATTACCACTTGGCACCAGTACCTGAGTGAAGCTCCTAGGACAGGCCCCCATATAACTTGTGACGGTAACGCGTTGGTGTTCGGCTGTTTAAGGCTAGGGGTATGGCCTCGTCACATAGTTATAAAAAAAAATAGAAAAACTGGAACTTCGTCTGTGGTAAGGTAAGGAGAAGACACACAAAACACAAGTCAATTTTAACAATGAAATTTTAATTACGTTAAATAAATCAAAACATGAAAAAATGAACAAACAAATTCTTATAATAAAATCAATCAATCAAAATAATAAGAATAATTAAATGACACAATGAAAAGTTACGTTAAGATAAAATAACAAGAAGTGCAACACAAAATTAAAGGGAGGTGCTGGAATATTGGCTTTAAGCTACCACCTCTCTCAGTACACGCTAACGTCTAGCCGGGAGGAGTGATAACTGCGAAAGCACTAAATATTCTGAGGTCTGAGGTCGTGGCGACCCCAGACATCAAGTAGTATCGGGGGGGGGGGTGGAGTGCAGTTGCAGCCCGGCCGGCGACCAATCAGCGGAGCCGGTAGCGATCAACAGGTAGTTTGGCGGTTTGAGTCTGAACAGGTGTCTCTGGCTGCAACGTTTTGCGCTCTGGCAAACCTTGCTGGTGTTGTTGTCGTTGTTGGACATTTCTTCCCTAGTAGTTTTATATAGTTTGTTACGACGTAATTGTGGAGGGAAGAGCAGGCTCAATCTCTTGAAGGAGATTATCGTCACAATATATATATATATATATATATATATATATATATATATATATATATATATATATATATATATATATATATATATATATATATATATATACACCCACACACACACACACACAGAGAGATATATATATATATATATATATATATATTATATATATATATATATATATATATATATATATATATATATATATATATATATATATATAGAGAGAGAGAGAGAGAGAGAGAGAGAGAGAGAGAGAGAGAGAGAGAGAGAGAGAGAGAGAGAGAGAGAGAGAGAGAGAGAGAGAGAGAGAGAGAGAGAGAGAGAGAGAGAGAGAGAGAGAGAGAGAGAGAGAGAGAGAGAGAGAGAGAGAGAGAGAAATATATATAGAATTGCAATTCGAGCAGAAGTCGTCAGCGAAGCACAGTTCGTGAAAGATTCGAACGTAATAAATTGTGAGTCGAGTGTAAACTTTTTTTTATTAATAAACATGGGTTTTGCAGCTGTATGTAATCACTTTCGCCTTTATGATGAGGACGGACAGTTTTGTTGATGAGGACAAACTGTTAGTATACGAAAGTACACCAGAAGTTCGTCCACGACTCATAACTGACGACGTTCGAACATTTCCCGACTTGGGAATCGCCGACGACCTCTGTTCGAATCCCACCTCTATATCTGACCCAGCCACATTATACAAATAAAATAGTGTCAGCCCTTCCTCATCAACAGAGTCCAAATTTTCGCTAATCCAGTCGCCAAACCCCCTGTTTATGAATACAAATACGGTTTATACATGACTCACAACTGATGACGTTCGAACACTTTTCGAACATGTACTTCGCTGACTTCCTATATTTGACTCACAGTCCTGTAAATATTTCACCCACGTACTTTAAATACAAATAATCATTAACAGATCCTAAACACTTCATCCATCTTAAACTACGCCTATCTGTACATAAAACTTTAATACATAATAATAAAAATTTATAAATGAGAACAAACATTTTTTTAATACACTACACGTTAAAATTGATGAATGCACCTTAGGAACGCTGCAGGTTAAACGATCCTGGCTTCATGACAGCTTGAATAACTGACAAGAAACTGAAAAAATAACTAGCCTAAATTAGGTCTTACTATACACCAAACTCTAATATATAATTCTGTTAATAGAATTATGAAAAAAATACTGATTTTTAATGTAGAACGCTTTAATATTGATGATTGTGTTTTAGTTTTTTTTTCATTTTATTTGGGAAACACAAATACAACAAAACAGAAAAACATCAACAGCATCATTCACATGTACAAAGCAGAAACACACCGACAAACAGTAGAACAGGAAAACACACAAACAAAATTCATACAAAACACAAAATGGAATCCTAAACATAGGTAACAATGAAATACAGTCAAAAAAGAAAAGAACACAAGAGCATTATAACCCAACAGTAACTAGGAAAGAAACAGGAAAAAAAATACCCCCTATCACATAGCTCATCAAAACAAATAAATAAATAAATATAGCAACACAAAGCAAGAACCACATACACAGTTAATCATCTTCATATTTATCCGGATAGAAACGATGCGGGTACTTCTTCCTGTAGGCATCCTACTGAGCCCACAATTCCGCAGACGCGTTAACGTGACTACGAGATCCTCGCGGTCGATGCATGAAGTCAGAAACATCCAGCTCGGCGCCCTCCACCACGGGGGTGGAAGGACGGGAAGAGGCCGCACAGGGGGCTTTGGTACAGACGGTGGAACCACACGGGACTGAAGCACAGGAGTCAGCCGGGCACAGGCCGGCAACATAGCGGGCAGAGTCGCAGGGGACGCAATCACAGAGGGCGATGGTGCAGGGGCCGACACCACAGGGGGCGGAGTAACAAAGAACAGCTGAGCAGAGGGCAGATGCGTGGAAGGCACAGACATAGACGCCAGAGGCACAGAGGCCGCCGGAACAGAAGCATTCTTAAGAACCAGCACCAAGTCCCCTCCCTCTCCCGCAATCTCGGCCGGTGCCACAACCACCCAACTCGGGGAACAAGCAACCGGTGACGCAGAGGCAGCCGGAGAAGACACCGGACCAGGGCCAAGCGACAGTCCCACCACAGGACCCATCACCGCTGCAACACGGCCCACAGGAGCCGCAGGCACTCCAACAGCGTCGCACACATCACCATCCACAGAAGACGAACTTCCGGAGTCCTCAAAATCCCTGACGTCGGCCCAGGCTACACCAGGAGGCGGAGACAGACTTAAAGCCCGCCGCGAACGCTTGGACACAGGTCGCAGATCGTCGGAACTATAACCCCCGCCAGGAGGCACCATAGCAGAGCCGCCGATTGGTCGCGCAACTCCCCGCAGTGCACGATCACTCAACATCGCAGCCTCAACAACCCGGGGAACAGGACCACACACCACAGAAGACATCACAGTGTGTACGTCGACACAGGCCGAAGACACAGCTGCCGGAGACAGTACAGGCCGAGGCGCAGCCTCGACGTCCTGAGTCACGAGACCACACACCACAGGAGACACAACTGGAGACTCGACTGGAGACGAGGCAGGCAGGGGAGGCTGAGGTCCGGAAGCCGGGGATGCACTACCTTCCACTCCGACACCCACAGCCACATCGAGGCCGGCATCAGAGATCGACAACGGGGCACCAGACGACTGGGAAGTATCACTTATCACAGCAGCATCTTCCGACAGGTCCGGGACCGCCAACGGGGGAAAGTCCTCCTCCCTGAAGAGGTTCACAGGCCCGACCCGGCTCGCATCACATCCCGCAGCCTGCTGGCCCGAGAGTCCGCACCGGAAACAAGTCCAGGGCTGACCCCCATAGAATACGCAGACCATGAAGCCCAGAAACTGCAGAGACGAAGGGATGGAGTCCTTCAAGCGCAGCGCCACAGTTCGGGATGCCCTTCCACTGCCAGGACGAGACTGCATTCATCCATACACTCAAGACCCGCCCATACCGGGTAAACACTGGAGAAGAGAATCAGGGAACTCAAAGGGAGCACCATGAACTGCCACATAGGTAGTGTCACTGCACCTGTCCGACACCTCCATCGAACCACCACCTCAGGCAGAGTAAACGTCCTCCCATCATAGCGATCCACAAAGTCACGATACACAGCCGTAGAGCAGAATTTCACAACAGCTCGATGCCCGGATACAATTTTTTTTTTTACATGTAACACATGCAATTTAAGTACAATAAAAACAATAAAAGTGCATTAGAAAACATAACAAAACAAAACAAAACAATAAACCACCGGCCAGAAGGGCCGACAGCACAGGACAACAGAGTACAAACATGAGAAATGCAAGAGCATACATCAAAAGAGAAAACAATGTCAAAACAAGCAAGCACAGTAACATTATAAAACATAGCAGTATACAACAAAACAAACATCAAGATGTATAACATGAAACATAACAAGAAAACCACAGTAAACAACAAACAAGCACAACATGTAATGCAATAATAAAACACCAGTGCAAGGGACATTCACAGAAACAAGACATGAATAAAAACACTCACACCAAACCAACTGCCTCGCAACAAAGTGGAGAGGCCAAAATATACAATAATAAGAAACAAACAATCCATGCAATCAAGAAAACAAAACATAGGAACACACACAACAACAAACAAGCACCGGCCTGAAGGACCGAGAACAAAACACATCATAAAGGACATCATGAAGTAGAACAAGGAAATCGCACAACACAGTCTAGCAATGCATAAATAGAACACACATGGCAAAATAACAATACAAAAGCAAATACATGAATAAAAAAAACCTCACCAAATCACCGGCCTCGCAACAAAGAAGGGAGAGGCACGTGCACAAAATACAATAGGGCAAACAAAAGGGCCATAGGGGCACACAACACTACAGGAACATGAAATCAGCTGACATATTTGCCCGGGAACAAGGCCCGGGGAAACCGCACATGGAATGCCTCCCAAAGCAGCCATCTCCCGCAAGAGTCTCGACCGTCCACCGGGGATGCCATGGTATCCGGAACCCCGGCAACAAGCACCTGCTAACATGGAACCCAAACGGTGTCACTCCGGAGGCGTGTGACCACCACCCTACTCCATATACCGGGAACCCGCCCATTAAGAAAGCTCTCTGGCCTTACAGACAGCAGGATCTCGGAAATCACGACCTCCAGAGCCTCAAGTTGCAACCCCGCAGGAGAGAGCCGTTCTGAGGGCACCACCACAGGGGCACCAGCGGCCACGGGCACACCACCAGACGACTGCAGGGAACCAGGGCGGCACTCATCCTTTCGTAAAGTCACTACCAGGCCACGCCCAGCACCAGCATCCGCACCATCCCTGGCAGCGGAAGCCACCACACCCCACTGTGGAGAGCCCCCTGGCGGGGAAGGAACAGAAGGCACACCCGAGACACGGGCATCAGCACCAGCAGGCACATGAACCTCCGCCACCACCACCTGCGGAGACAACGACGAATCCGGATCCACGCCGTCAACACCTGAAGACCCACAGTCACTGAAGTCCTCAACTTCAGTGACCAGGCAGTAGACGAACACCTGCAATGCTTGGGCTCCGGCCGGTTATCGTCAGAGCCGAAAGCATACCCAGAAACACGTGCACCACTAGCCGGACGAACCGACACCCGACACAGAACGGCAGCAGCCTCTACCACAGGGGGAACCGGACCACACACAGCAGGAAGCACCGCAGACACCTCAGCTCCCAGCACAGGAGGGACCCGAGGTGAAGCAGCAGGGCCAGGTCCAGCAGCCGAAGACGAGGAAGCAGACAACGACGCTTCACAGGGAGTGCCAGGAAGATCCACGGAAGCGACAGGGCCAGAGACAGGAACAGGAGTAACATCCGACGGCACCGCAACATCCGTAGGAGGGTTTGCGACAACAGGGGGAACGTCGGGCGACACCGGGGGAGCGTCATCAGCTGGTGGGACGTTCACCTCCTCACCCCCGGAGTCCTCCTCCAAAGGGAGCGGTGGGAAATCCTCTTCTCGGAACAAGTTGATGGGAGCAACCGGAGCCGCAACGCACCCGGCAGCCTGATGCCCCATCAAGCCACACCGGAAACAGGTACGGGGTTGCCGGGCATAGTACACCTGGACGTAGTACCCCATGAGCCGGACCGAAGATGGAATATCCGACCACAGGCTCATCCCCAAGGTGTGAATATTCGTCCGCCTACCTGCATATCGCCCTGAGGAGAGCGTGTTCACCCACACACTGACGACCGCCCCATACCTCTGAAAGTAACGTCGGAGGAGGTCCTCGGGAAACTCCAGGGGCGCCCCATGCACACTGACATAAGTCAGTGCACCACTACGGTCCGAGATGGACACAGAGCCGGCACCATCTGTCAACGGCAACGAACGTCCCTCGTAACGACGGAGGAAGTCACGGTACTCCTCCTCCAGCACAAACTTGATAACAACCCAGTGGGCAGTTACCAGCTCAACACCGTAGACGACCATCACAGGAACACGGAGCATGTCGCACATAACCATTTCAATGGCCGCATATCCAGCACGACCAGTGAACTCCAATCCTACGGAGTTCACCAGTACAATAGGAGGAAAATGGCTTCCCATGGCAAGCTCGCCATGTCAACACGCAGCCAGTCAACAACAGCAGGGGAGGGGCAGAGACGCCCACACCTCCTGGTGACGAAAACGGCAAACACCCCAAACCACCAAAGGACAAGCGACACGTCTGTACCTCACAGCATCTCCAGGTGGAACCCCCCCCCCCGATACAAGTTGAACGCCGCACACATACCCCATCATATACCACATCACCCGCAACATGTCACTCATCATCACCTCAACTGCTGGGTAAGACGCTGGGCCAGTAAATTCTAGGCCAATGGTATCCCTCCGCTTCACAGGGGGGAGGGGGAACCGCCATCCCTCCATCCGCCAGGGCCCCAAGGGTCCGCTCACACACAAACTACCACGGGTCAGCAAACCAGGAGCTCACAGGCGACACGTCCACCTCCGCCCAAAACTAGGTGAACACTTCAATGATTGTATTTTAGTGGTCGGCTATAGCATGGATGAAGATATATATTCACTGATTTGCAGGGTTCGTCTCTGAGCGTATATATACGCTGACATATCGGTATAGCAATCAGTGTATATGCGGACATAAGGGGGGGGGTACCTCTCTCTCTCGGTAGATTTACCAATATGTGGGGTGATCTATCAGCGAATATTCATTTATGCAAGAATAATCATAAAAAGAAACATGACTTGGTTATGTCGTTTCATTTTCCTAGTGAATACTTACACATGTTCACTTATATATGTCGTTCAGCTCTCAGTTTATATACAGTGGCATGTGAGGCGGCTCTCTGAAGGTATATTCACTCACAGATGGGGTTCAGCTCTTACTATATCAATATAGCTTTTTGGCAAGAGATATTCCTGGGATGATATAATAGGTGCAGTGTGTATTTGGTGCACCTTGCAGCATATATATATCTACCTATCTATCTATCTATAAGGTATATATAAAGCATCAAGCAATTATGAATATACCGTAAGACGTGAATCTGCAGAGTATAATCACCTAACCTTGCAGGTCAATACCATACAATTTTGTTAAAATACATATTGTTCTTGTATAGGAAACAAATAGGACTCACATATAGTACTTCCACTCATTCTCACATTTATGTATCCAAACATTACAGTGACTTCTGTTTCGTTGTCTTACAGAGACAACCTTCGTGAACAGACAAACACACACTGATACAAAAGTTTGTAAAAAAACATTCAGGAAACCCCTTACTGAGTTTGTTCGAGTACAATACATTCTGAGGCTTATCATGGATATAAATAATAAACATAAGTGTTATGTAAACTCAGTGGTAAACTCAGAGAACAGTTTAGCAGCCAATGTAAATTTCACTAGACGAGTTGTATATACGAACGAAAATAGAAAGCCCCTAGTGGGACTCGTGTGATTAAACAGGTCATTGTTAGTAACACATTAATTGATAGTTTACAACATTGAATTAATCAAAATTATCTTGAGGCAGTAGACAGGATGGGGCAAACTAATAAAAAATACAATAAGTATTAATTATTCGGAGTAAAATTACAATATTCGATATATATTTTAAGTTTAAAATTTCAGCCCAAATCTTAGCTTGGTGTATTACAAACAAAGATTATCGTAAAGAAAAATAATAATTGTGGAAAAAATGTTAAAAAAACAGCTATTTGGAAAACATTACATAAGCTCGATTCAGAACTTAAATTAATAACACAGAAATAGAAATCACCTCTTAGGGTACTAATCACTATACAAGAAACTCAAGGTGATTTGCCATCAGAAATCACAAGTAAATGAGTTCATTATTTATGAAACAATATATCAATCTCTAAAACACTGTGGGTTTTGGCTCAGAAAATGTAATGCGTCACGTGGCGATTGACGTATTGACGTCTGTGAGAGCCGTGATATTGACGTCGTATCTTGACGTCGAGATATGACTTCAAATATACTGCAAAAAAATGGCTTCAGATCGTTATCTGCTGAGCTGTGTGCACCATAGGCGATGAGAATTGTATTTTATTTCTGAAATATTCAACGAATTGGAACTTCTGGGTCGGAAATTCTTTACGGTATGTCCTTTGAAAAATAAAAATGGTACTGACTGCATCGTTGACATTTTTTCCACAATAAGAATTTTTCCCGGGTCAATTATTTGCGATATTCAACACCTATAGAACTCAGGAAAAAAATTATATTTTGTCTGCAATTTATGCTATATAATATAATCTTATCCAACAAAATTTTTGAGCATTTAACACTGGCCACATTATCCTCAACGCAGCCGTTTAAATGGAAATTAAAAGTTTTAGAAAATAGTAGAATTAAAGACCTTTTAATCCAAATTCAAGATTAAGTTTCCTAAAGGCATATATGTGATGAAATGAATATAAAAACTCAGATTTACATTAACCTGAAGTTTTGCGTGAAGAACATTGCATTTTTGAGGCTGCATATACATAATATTGCAATACAAAAAAGGTTTATAATGCACATGTCAGATTATGCATTTATTCAATGGAAGCTTCCAGCTTGAGACTCTAAGCATATTATACAAAATTATAAAACTCAGGGTTAATACACAATGTGTGAGTGTTTGTATGTGTTAGTGTGAACCAATTATATCGCTTACTCTGAATGCAATGTGGAGAATTGAAGCAGACAGAGTGAGCAAGGCAAGATGACCCTGCCTATCAATGCCTTCAGAACCTGTTGCTCTCCGCCGCCAGGGAACCGATCCCGGTTGTCTCCTGGAGGAGGGCGATCGGCACCGGCTCTCACAAGGATAGCGGTGAGGTAGAGACACATCACAGACCCTTGCTATGAGTCCAGACGCCGAGTTCCTCCTGCTTCTAGTCCTTCTCCTGGGGCGATGTACCTCGCCTACGTCGCTTGGAATGAAGATAGGCGCGCCTTCACATGCCTGGGCTGTGAGGGGGTTGGCGTGGACCATCACTATACAGAGTACCAACGCCAGGAGTACTCCCCATGCAGGGGGAGGCTCTGTTGTCGTCGCTCCTCCCGTGTGCATTGCAGCCGGGTGCTCGTCTGCTGAAATATAAATGAATAAATAACAATAATAATAATAATGAGAAAATGAGGTTGTGAGGAGGCTCGAACCTTTCACCTCAGCATTGCCAAGTGCATTCATAGATTCGCTATATATATCACGTTAGTGTGATTTCTGTGTGGGATTAATAATAATAATAATAAGCACAATTTGCACTCAAAACAATGCTAAGAACGGAATACATATGTATAGTTCTGGTGTATACGTTGTGAATGTATATGTATATTCTCACAAAACATGTCGAAAACAAACAAAAGAGAAAATTCATTGTCACATCCTGATGTTCTCAGAGACTGTGTCAGCAGATTTGTGTTGTCTATAGAAATAGTTCTTACTCCTGGGAGATGAAACTGGAGAAGTGAGATTGAATGAACTAAAGAAGAAATGGACAAGAAATGGACAAGGGAAGAAATGGCCCGTGTGGATTTGTTCAAGAAATGGACAAATACCATGCCAGCAGTACACACAGCCCCGCTCCTGTATCAAGTAAGTCCAATAGAAGTAGTATCCATTGATTGTTTCAAGCGTAGGTTAGACACATATATGAATGAGATTGGGTGGATATGAAATATGAGCTACCTTGTATGGGCCAATAGGCCTTCTGCAGTTACCTTCATTCTTATGTTCACTCCGGGCTCGCCATAGCCCGTGCTACTTGGAACTTGTTGCAGGCGAGAAGTCACAATTACGTGGCTGAAATATGTTGACCAAACCATACACTAGAAAGTGAAGGGACGACGATGTTTCGGTCCGTCCTGGACTCAATCGACTTGAGAATGGTCCAGGACGGACCGAAACGTCGTCGTCCCTTCACTTTCTATTGTGTGGTTTGGTCAACATATTGGAATTTGTTACAAGTAGCTGAATATAAAACCACAACTATATTAATCATGCCACGTACCATTGAGAACGTGGAGGAGCGTGGTGGCAGGGTGAAGATTGGAGGGAAGGCAGGTATAGTTGCCGGCGTCTGAGGGCCTGGCGGTGGAGATCACCAGAGTAGATGTGACACTCATCTCACTGCCCTGCCCGCCCCGCCTCGACACCGTGAACTTCACTCTGGGGTTGTTGTACTCCAGCAGCCGCTCCCCAGAGTGGTACCAGAAGATGTAGTCGGGAAGCTGAACTGTTGAGCTCACTTTGCACTCGAGCCGAGCGGTGGATCCACTCCTCACGTACTTGTCCGCCGCGCCACTCACTTCCACTTGCGGCACTGCGGAAGGGAGGACAGGAACGTTAGTTGTGGACGCGGAAATGTGGAGAACGGAAGGTTAGGATGAGGCTATCACTTCCTGCAGGTTGGTGTTCAATCCCCCCGACCGTCCACAAGTGGCTGGGCACCATTCTTGTTTCCCTCCGTCCCATCCCAAATCCTTATCCTGATCCCGTCCCAAGTGATAAATAGTTGTAATGACTTGGCGTTTTCCCCCCTGATAGTTCCCTCCCTCCCTGCGGCACTGTGGATGATTCGAGGATCACCTGCGGCACTGAGAATGATTGGAGGATTACCTGCGGCACTGAGGTTCTACCTGTGTGAATAGACTTAGAGGATCCGTTGACGCCCAGAGTTAATACCAGCTTGAGTGTTGGGTAGTTAGACTACTTGACCTTACACTCGAGGGCTTCCGGTTTATGACACACTTGAACTGGCTTCACTTCACGAGAAGCCGCCAGACTTCCTGCTGGTTCAGTGGAGTCCCCCAAGGTGGTGTAACTTAAGTCGTGGTGGTACAGGAGTAAGGAGTGTATCTTGATCGCTCTATAGGTATCGATTGATTGAGTCACCTCATAGCTTCAATTGATTTTATTATTATTATTTTTATTATTATTGTTGTTGTTGTTGTTGTTGTTTTTGTTGCAATTTAAGGCATTTTCTTTACGTATAAATGTTTCGCTTTTATTTCTTTTACATCAAAAGAATAGACATAGATGTGCATATACGCTGGCTCCCTATAGTTCAGGCTTGTATTTTATATATATATAAAAAGTTTACACAGATCTTTTTTACACAGTGTAAATATATATATAAAGATCTTTATACACATATATATACACAAAATATACAGTAAATACAATATATAGACTGAGATTTTTATATATACATCCAGAAAAAACACATGTGAAAAATAGAGAAAGCTTAACGCGTTTTCGGCTAATTCGCCTTCATCAGAGCAAAGTAGAATGAAAGTAGCATTCATTCTACTTTGCTCTGATGAAGGCGAATTAGCCGAAAATGCATTAAACGTTCTTTATTTTTCACATGTGGTTTTTCTGCATACTTGGATCAGTGATTTTGTGATTATTGTTGTGTATATATATATATATATATATATATATATATATATATATATATATATATATATATATATATATATATATATATATATATATATATATATATATATATATATATATATATATATATATATATATATATATATATATATATATATATATATATATATATATATATATATATATATATATATATATATATATATATATTAGTATATTTTGGTAGCAGTCTTTCCTGTAGACATAAATTATTAAATATGACCGAAAAAGTAAGATTAATAAATCTAACACGAATTTTCTCAATCTTTCGTACATTTCTTTTCACTGTTGGTGGTAATTCAAAAATCAATTCTCCAAAATTCATTTTTATTTCTAGTCTGACGCGACACTTGAGCGCGTTTCGTAAAACTTATTACATTTTCAAAGACTTTAGTTAACACATACACAACTGAATAGAACTTACACATCTCCGATTTGTTTATATCTACATTTGAATGAGGTGGATGGGGTGAGGTGGTATTTAATAAGGTATTAATTTCATCAACACAAGACAGAACACGAAACAATGGGTATTTGAATAGAAGTGATTGTAGAAAGCCAATTGGTCCATATTTCTTGATGCTTCTATATTGGAGTGGAGTCTTGAGGTGGGTAGAATATAGTTGTGCATTAATTGGCTGTTGATTGCTGGTGTTGACTTCTTGATGTGTAGTGCCTCGTAACGTCAAGCTGCCTGCTATCGCTGTATCTATCGATGATTTCTGTGTTGTTTACTAGGATTTCTCTGGTGATGGTTTGGTTGTGGGAAGAGATTATATGTTCCTTAATGGAGCCCTATTGCTTATGCATCGTTAAACGCCTAGAGAGAGATGTAGTTGTCTTGCCTATATACTGGGTTTTTTGGAGCTTACAGAGCCCCATCCACCTCACTCAAATGTAGATATAAACAAATCGGAGATGTGTAAGTTCTATTCAGTTGTGTATGTGTTAACTAAAGTCTTTGAAAATGTAATAAGTTTTACGAAACGCGCTCAAGTGTCGCGTCAGACTAGAAATAAAAATGAATTTTGGAGAATTGATTTTTGAATTACCACCAACAGTGAAAAGAAATGTACGAAAGATTGAGAAAATTCGTGTTAGAATTATTAATCTTACTTTTTCGGTCATATTTAATAATATATATATATACATATATATATATATATATATATATATATATATATATATATATATATATATATATATATATATATATATATATATATATATATATATATATATATATATATATATATATATATATATATGTCGTACCTAGTAGCCAGAACGCACTTCTCAGCCTACTATGCAAGGCCCGATTTGCCTAATAAGCCAAGTTTTCCTGAAATAATATTTTTTCTCTAATTTTTTTATTATGAAATGATAAAGCTACCCATTTCATTACGTATGAGGTCAACTTTTTTTATTGGAGTTAAAATTAACGTAGATATATGACCGAACCTAACCAACCCTACCTAACCTAACCTAATTTATCTCTATAGGTTAGGTTAGGTGGCCAAAAAAGTTAGGTTAGGTTAGGTAGGTTAGGTAGTCGAAAAACAATTAATTCATGAAATATTGGCTTATTAGGCAAATCGGGCCTTGCATAGTAGGCTGAGAAGTGCGATCTGGCTACTAGGTACGACATATATATATATATATATATATATATATATATATATATATATATATATATATATATATATATATATATATATATATATATATATATATATATATATATATATATATATATATATATATATATATATATATATATATATATATATATATCACTGCTAACACTTAGCTGCTAGGGGCTCAAAAAGTCCAAATACTCAGCCCCTCCGACTCCCGGGATTCACCGAAGTCTCCTTGGCCACCACAAAAGGGGTGCCACTGATTCACCCTGGAAGGCCTTCAGTCAGACACGGGGAAACTGCTGTTAACAGTTCCGGCCTAGACCCGTGGGGGAGTGAAGGAAGACTCAGGCTTACCTTATAACCATAACCTCCCTGAGTCTTGCCTGCCAGACAAAAAAGGTTGCAGGAACTCCTTTCCCACCTGTCTTCTCTATCTTCTTTTTAGCAAGGTCGCCAGCTGGGTTATTTTATCTGCACCCCAGCAATGCAGTTCAGTGGGTGTATTATATATTGTTTGTAGCCAGAAGATTGCTACTCCCATAGATCTGCTACTAGACTGTTGGCCCAGGGTACTCTCCCAGGAAGGTCTGTGTGGCTTTACCTCTCTCTAGCCACTACGTTAATAGTTGCCACCATTCAGGCACTGATACTGATCGGATGGCTAAGGGTACACTTTTATGTAAGTCTGTGCTGCCTCTACCACTCTCCAGACAATAGGAACTGCTATAGAGAACGTAGTGTTCCCTAGGTGGTACTATGATAACCTTCGTGTATGCTCATAGAGAAAATATCATAATGGAGGCACACTTAAACACAGTGATAAAATGTGTGAATTTACTGATGCAAATTACATGAACACACACACAATCACAAGTAATACATGAATATGGAAATATAGATAATAAGTCTGGAGATCGTCAGCCTCTTCTTCCACGACCTCCAACACTCCTTCAACTGGGCAGAAAGACAGGAGTCCCACACTCTCACAGGAGGGCCTTTTCACCACGTCGGCGCCTCTTCTTCACTGTCCTGCCATCCATACACACTGTCCCCTCTGACAGTCCTGGACACAAGCTGCCTTGCAGCCTATTCTACTACTAAAGTATTAAAGTCGCTTCCAAGGTCGGGTCACTTCTCACGTTGGCGCCGCCCGGGGCACTCGGTGACGTCATGGCGGGCCCTGATTTGTCGCCCGCGACCTAAGTCGGCCAATCCGCGATCGGCTAGAGTCCCTTCCAAAAGGTCATATCTGCATTAGGGGATACTCTTTTATTTTATAACAGGGCGCCAATTTCCCTTTATTTACAACTTATAATGTAACTTCCTTCCCTTTACTGGCAGTCGGTCTGGTCGCCACATATATCATTAGACTCCCTGAACCTCAGAGAATCAGTAGGGAGAGCTGATATGACTCTTAAAGCAGGCAAACGAAAGAGATAGGAGAGGGCACCGTAACATACCCCTCCCCTTAAAATAAGAGTCATATCGGTTAGTAAATCCGGGAGAGGGCATCTGCCACCACATTCTCCCTTCCTTTAATGTGCCTGATTTCTAGCCAGTACTCTTGGAACAGTAGGGCCCATCTTGTCAGCCTTTGGTTCGTGTTCTTCAAGCCTGTGCACGAACGTCAAGGGGTTATGATCGGTGAACACTTGCACTGGTCTAGTACCTCCACCCACATAGATGTCAAAATGCTTCAGTGCCAGGATCAGGGCCAAGGCTTCCTTTTCCTCTGTACTATAAGCCCTCTGGTACTTTTCGAATTTCTTCGAGTAGAATGCCACTGGACGGTGGACTCCGTCCTTCTCTTGAGCTAACATGGCTCCAATCCCCACGTCGCTAGCGTCGACGTATAAGATAAAGTCTGACTCAAAGTCAGGCGAAATCAGCACTGGCGCTTCAGTCAACAACTTCTTAGTCTTCTCAAAGGACTCCTGGCATGCTTCCCCCCACTTCCATCTAACGTTCTTAGATAGCAATTCAGTCAGAGGGTGTGCCACTGTCGAGAAGTTATTGCAAAATCCTCTATAGTATCCAACCATCCCTAAATATCGTAACAATTCCTTTCTCGTCCTGGGATTCGGACATTCTTTGATTGCCATCACTTTCTGGTCTACTGGAGTCACTTCCCCTTGACCCACGACGAAACCTAAGTATTCTAATCGGACCTTTCCGAATTCGCTCTTGGCCAGATTAACAGTCAGGTTCGCTTCTTCCAACCGTTGGAATAACTCCG